GCCATTATACTGTTTCGTTTCAGTTAGAAATGAATTTCTGATTCTCTTCCTCCATCACCTCTCTTAGAATAAAAACAACAACGAAGCAGCTATTTTTTTATTTGAATAAACAGTTCTTATTAGTGGTTCAGATATGGATGAAATATATTGCTACAGCCATGTTTGTTATGTATGATTTACACTGTTTAACGGCATATCATCTTATGATGTTCTTAATTTTGTTATGCTGGGGGGGGGCGGGAAGGGTTGTTTAGTTTCAAGCATTTAGTCATGGATGCTTGTATTTTGAACTTTGAAAAAATTAATACAAAGGAAATTAAAAAAAGAAAAAGAAAGTATTTTCAAAATGATGTGGAAATCAAATCTATCCCACAGTAATTTGATTTGCAGGAAATGGAGAGAAAAGCATTGCAAAACAGAATGCCTTGAAGTGCATTGTAATTACTTACATGTGCAAACACCATTGTCTTAGGCATACAGTTAATAACAACAGCAATAATAATTCTATGCCCTTATATAGGGACATTCATTCAAGGAGCTTGAGGCTCTTGGCAAACATTCATTAATTAAGCCTCAAAATGTACATGGAGAGGTAGAGAGGTAATATCCCCTTTTACAGCTGAAATGCCAAGGAACTGCAGTCCAGGACTCAGGGATATACTGGAGTTAATGTCTAGCACAGATGAGTTCAGCTGCAAAGTACAGAGTTGGAAAAGGCTTGCCCTCTACTGAGGAGTATGTTCATGTTGCAGAATTTGCTGCTGCACACCCTGAAAAGCTGCAGTGTGACTGAGTAATCTGGTATTTACTGCAAGCAATGAAAGTTTCAGTCATTACTAATGTTTGGAGCATAAAGCAAAGCAGCAACAACCACAAGAACTCCACCACAAAACCATGTGAAACAAACCTCAGACTGAAAAATAAAGGCAAAACTTGTATAATGGCAGATTAATTTTGCTATTAGTGTTTCTGAAATGTGAAGCTCTCAGCCATTTTCATAGGCTGTGAATGGGTGCTAAAATATTTCAGACAGCTCCAGCAAAATGACTTAATCTAATCATGTGTTCATTCTCAGAGCCAAAAAGAGAGAGCTTTATATTTTACTCCTTATCTTTGCCCCTTAAGCCAATTCTTCTTCTTTGTCTCTTATATCCCACTGTACTCTTGTTTACAACACCAGAAGCAGCACTCTAGATTCTATAAAGATAAGAATCCTGTTTTGCAACCAAGTAAGTCAAAATGATACGCTTACAAATAAATTGTGCACAGTAACCAAATTTCCTTATGTTTATGTATTCTACACAAATAATTCAGCTTCTGAGAGTCAGTTTTCCAAAGCATCAGAGAGTAGAGAATAGTAGCCATGGAAAACAGAGATACAGGACTGGTTCACATGGAACATAAACTATGGTTTTGTCATCTTCATGCATGTGTTCTCCCTCCTCCCATGTTATGCATCAATAATTTATTACATGATGTGATTTGCTACCCACTTTCCTTGTTTGGACAAAATAGAGTTTGCTCTTGCACTTGAAACAGCAAAACACTGTTTCAGGGTTTGAAATGAGTTTCCAATTCTGGTTGGGAGGAAAAGTTTCTCCCTCCCACAAACACACAACTAGAGGCTCATAAGGGTGAGGTGTGGGGCAGTCACTTGCAAAACTTGCTTGCCCTGTGTGATGTCAGGATTGCAAACCCATTCTCCTTTGTGGTGGATTGATCTGATCCCATCTGTGAAGGCAGGGCCTGGTCCTAGGTTACAAGACTGCACCCTTCTGTTCAGATTCCTGTTCATCTGCTGCCACCTCCAGTTCTGCCTCCCCACCCCCACAGCTGCTCAAAGCTCTCTGTGAGGCTTTTCACTCTGCAGGAAAGTTGGGAGAGCGGAAACTGGCATTGGTTTCCCCCCTTCATAAGTGGTTGAAGTCAGAGCTGAAAGGGGAGATCACCCCTCCTTGCAACCAAGATTCCTACTATTCAGTCCCCCCGCCATTTCTTCTTCCTCCTCCTGTGTCAGAGGCTACCAATCTAAACCCAATCCCAAATGAACTCATGACACCAACCGTATTTTACTCCAAACTGAATAGGATACAGGAGCACATGAGTGATGAAAACAGAGAGGGACAGAAGGGAATCTGCAAGTCTCAGGCTTGGACCCAATAGCCAAACCATGGTGTGAGACGTCGTGGCCATTCTTATTTGGAGTGCACCTGGCATGAGAAGATGGGGTGCAGCAGTAGGGTCTTAAAAGTGTGAACAAAAAAGTGTGAACATCCATCCAGTAAGCTCAAAAAACTCCAGGTTCTCAAAATAACAATAGGCCTTAAGAGAGGTCCCCCTGCTCAAGCCATTAAGGAATTTTCTACTAGGCTGAAAAGGGGAATGACTTTGCCTCACAGATGTGTAAGGACTCATGTGCTCAAAGCCAATAATTTATAGGTCCATTAAGCTGTGAGGGGGCAAGCTAAATATCATTGGGTGAAAAAATAGGGCTTGAGACTACATACTGTGAGACATGTCTCCTGTCCTGAGGCCAAATTTTGTCTCCCTTTGGGCCTCAACATGAAGACAGAACACATAGAATCACAGAATTCATCATGTCCAACCCCTTGTTGACTCAGGAAACTTATTACAGTGGTACCTCGGAAGTTGAAAGGAATCCGTTCCGAAGTCCATTCGACTTCCCAAAATGTTCAGAAACCAAGGCGCAGCTTCTGATTGGATGCAGGAAGCTCCTGCAGCCAATTGGAAGCCACACTGGATGTTTGGGTTCCAAAGAATGTTTGCAAACCGGAGCATTCACTTCAGGTTTGCAGCGTTCGGGAGCCAAAACGTTCGACTCACAAGGTGTCCGCGAACCAAGGTACGACTGTACTACAGTATCCCTACTGGGTGACCATCCAGCCTCTGCTAAAAAACCTCTTAAGAGAGTCTGAGATCCACTGCAGAACACCTTGTATTATCAGCCTAAAGCTTTTTTCCTTCTAACTTGAACCTATACACAACCCCATGCAAGACCCCCTGCTCCCTCCACAAACGTTTTCTGGCATGCCTCAGGGTCGCTTCTCAGTATACTCACCCATTCTAGCATTTCCCCTTCAGCATAATGACCCTGGTGTCTGACTCCCCTTCTCCAGGGGATGAGGCAGGGAATTCAGAGTGGGAGAGGAAAGTTTATTCAGGAAATGAAGAGGCTTCTCTCACAGAAGGTAGAGCTACCTAATGGGATACAGCTGCAGTTTCTATTTACGGTTCAGACTATGGATGACTGCTGTTCGATTAACACTGGAATTCTGCCTTTAAAGAGATTCCAGAATGAGTCCTGCACACGGATGTCTAGGGTGCCCCTGAAGCCTTGCCTCTAAGGCCATCATTCAAAACAGAACATCCACAGATGTTTGTGCTCTCTGTATTTTGACACTAGTCATCAATGTTTTGCTAACACAGAAGATTATTGCCCATTAGTACTGCATTAAGCTGGAGACTGGATACAGGATTTGATCTGACAGCAGGCTTCTGTGTAATTCACAACATTATTTAAAACTGGTTCAGGTATGGGAAACCACCTAAAAGCTACAGAGGTAATGAATAATTGCTTTATGTTTTCAGTATTTTACCCTGCAACGATAAAACTGATACAAAAATCACACATTGCAGGGAAGTGGGAACTGTACAAAGAGAAAGAGTATAGATAATCACTGGTAGATCAGAGTTTATAGAGGAAAAGAATGCAGGAGCACATTAAATTTACCATAAACAAGGAGTTTCATACCACATCAGTGACTGCTACTATAATTCATTTGTCATATAAATTATGTCCATTGGGAAGTCTCATAAAATTAATTAGGGCAGAGACAGGGGAAAAACAAATCAAAAACTTCTCAGAGCTGCAACAAATACAGGTTCTAGACAGAACAGCATCAACAAGATCAGTCAAAATACTTATTCAATTCCCATGAGGCTAACATCCTCGTACAAAGAATTTTCCTGGCCTTATCAACTTGAAGGAAATTATACTGGTTGCTCTCAAGGACACAGTAATATTGAAATTTCGAAATTGAAAGCAACACAGCCTTATATGAATTACAAATTGAATGTATAAAAAAAAATCCATGAAATGCAGTTGGTTAGCTTATATGTTTAATAGAGCAAAGCAGACTTATCACCTTTATTTCAAGCCACTGCCCAACCCTTGCCATGCCCTCACCACCACTGCCCAGTATTTCTCAAGCTCCACTTTTAACCTAGACTATGTTGGCCCAGTAAAGGTGTTATATACACTAGTTTCTGGTTGGAGAACATACTCTTACTTCTGTATATTGTCAACCATCTCACTCTTACTCCTTACTGAATCTGACATTAACTATGTGCAGGTGCATTAGCTCATTATACTTTCTATGTTATCCTTGGCTCTTTTGTCTCCTGCTCCCACGTCCATGTTATCTCCCTCACTGCTAAAATGCACTTTGAAGGCAGGGACCTGGTTTTTTGTTTGGTTTTTTGCTTGTGTTACTCTGTACACCTTGGGAGTCATAGCTCTTAAACCAATGCATCCTCAGTATTTCTAGTAATTGCTCTCGTTAGAGCTCTGCCATAGTTCAGTCTGTCTTGCAGCATCCCAGAAATTAGTCCTTTTAAAACAGACTCTGAATGACACGCCAGATCTCATAAGGTGATTGCGTGAAGCTGACAAATGTCAATGGCAGAATAGTCTCATTCTGCCAAACCCTTTTTGTTCCTGATTTAATCTCAGTTTGAACCCATCTCTCTTCAGGTGAACAGCTATTACATTTTGCTGTGGACCTGAGGTTTAGGGTGCTAAGAGGTTCTGAAGGTATACAAATGTCAGCTATTCATCTATCTCCAACTGGATATGGTAAAAAATGAGTTGCCAAAAGGATTTTCTGCTGTGAATCAACAGGTGGTTTGGCAGCAAGACTAATGCTTGCTTGCAGCTTTTCACTTTTAGTTCCAGAAAAGGTGGGTGGGGGGAACAATACCTCTTAAATGCAGCATTTCAAGCCAACTGTATGGAAAAGAAGGTTTCATTCCAGCCAACTCGCCCTGTCTCTTGCAACATGGAACGAAATATTCCAGCTGATGCTGCTCTCCTCTTCAAGCTACAAGGGTACAGATTTGGAAACAAAGAGAAAACAAAAGAGAAAGGAAGAACATTATGGAATACAATTTGCTTTGCATAAATTATAAATATGGCGTAAAATGGCTACATGTGGTGAAACACAGCAAATTTATTTCACCACTGCCATATACAATTTATATTCCTCGTAGGTATTGATCAGTATTTCTAACTGGCATACAACAGGAAGGAGAAACATTCTAGATCCCACATCAAATACACAAAATTTAATTCATTCTACATTAAATACAAAACACTTTAAAAAACAGTGTTATAAAAGACGTAAAGGAAATCCATAGACATATGGACAAATCTATGCAAAAAAATAATAATGCACAAAGAGATACATAATAACAAAAAATTACTTGGTACATGAAAACAATTTGTTGAAATGCCATGAAATTTATCATGTCTCTTATAGAGTGGTTGCTATGCCCTTCTACTCAGAGTTTAATCTAATATTGGGGGAAACTTGTATTTGAAAATCTGTAGTACTTATTAACCTTTTCAGAAATCTCGTCACTATTTTGAAAGCCCCCCCCCAAATTATGTGACCATTTAAAATTATCCAAACAATGCTAATGTCTATTTTACATTCTATAAAGAAAATTATTTAACATTCTCAGAATGCACATAATTTTATCCTTCAGACTAATGATGTGTTCTTAAAATAATGTTAAATCTCTTAAGAAACTTCAGTGGAAACCCTTTGGGAAAATCCAACCACATATGCCTATCACACCTCATAGGAGCTAACAGCTGTTAATATGGCAACTACCGTACATAAAAAACAAATTCCACAGAATGGGCTTGAAGATCTTCCAATGTCTGAAGGGTCTTTTACATTTCAGACAATTTTTGTATCTAAGTATAGCCGGATAGGCATATGACTCGAAAAAGGCAAGTAGAGTCAGGCCATCCATGAATTGGTCAGCTGCAACTCCTAGGTCATGATGAGAAAGGAACAACTTTGGAGCCCAATCTAGATGATAGATAAAACGCATGACTACAGAGGTGCAGCCGGGGTTGACAGAACACATAGGAAGGAACATCCATTGATGTCCTTAATGAGGGGGGCAAGGCTGATCTTGCTACCGTCCTTGGGAAATGAGAGGTGTTTAATTTGTTTTAGAATCTTTGATGGTTAAGTGCTTCTCACTTTTGGATTGACAAAAGTGTCACACAGCTTCACATACGTTGACCTCTTCATATAAGTCAGAGGGGTGAACCTCAAGTCTTGGCCTGTCTATCTGAACCTTGGAAGCATTCCCAGCGAACTTCCCTCATGAGCCACTTGCACCCCAAGTGTTTTTGCCTGGCTGGAATGCATCCTTGAATTCTAATAATACCGCTTGCTTGACTGGATAAATGACAGAGAGGGACGTATCAGTGTGTGTATAAACTAGTCTGCTGTACAAAGGTAGAAGTTATATGAGCTGCCCCACCCACCCTTCTCTCTGGCACGTGGTTGCCCAGAAGGTAATGCAGTTCTTAGGCTGAAAAGGGTTATGTACCATGGATAAAAGTGAAAATCCCACTGGAGTTCTGAAGTGGGGAAGTGGCAATGATGCCGCTATGCTTGACCTCCTCACAATGAAAAATTTTAGGCCACTGGTTTTCTCCCACTATATCTGTATAAAAGCTTTACCACATTTTGTTTTGATAGGTTAAGAAGATTAGAAGTCAGGAATTATGTTCCTGTATCACCAGATGTAAGAAACTGCTATTACGTTTATCAGAAGAATGCTAGAACAGCTAACAGAAAAATTATTATCTTTTGTAACGCAACCATTTGAGGCCCATATTAGGGCATATTCAAAACTCTTTGAACAGCCCTGGACAAGATAATATAACATCAGTAGACGTAGACTGGGATACATAGAATACCTGGGACAATAATCTGATGTTCACAGGTGTGGTTGAGTCCCAAACAGATTTTTTTTTAAAAAAAAGTAATCATGGATTTGCTTAAAAAAAAACCTGTTTTGCATAATCAAGCCCATATCATATATGGTGCACCATCAGAGGTTGATGCAAATCAGAATTGCAATGCAATTTTTTAAAAAGCAGCTTTGAGAATAAAAAGTAGAAATCTGGAGCGCAGAAACGGTAGTATGAGGTTGTGCTAACACCCGCCCCCTATTGTACATTGCCTGCCCAATCTGTTTTCCTTCCTCTTGCAGCAGGAAGTGTGGAAACCTGAGGCCCTTCAGATGTTGCTGGATGCTGACTTCCATCAACCCCTTCCAGCACGGCCAATTGTCAGGAATTATGAAAGCGATGGTCGCGGAATAACTGGAGGGCCGCAGATTCATCACTAGCATCAAGAAGGTTTAAAATGAGTATTTGCTTGCGTTCTGGACATCATATGTAGAAAACTAACTCTCTCTCTCTCTCTCTCTCACACACACACACACACACACACACACAGAGAGAGAGAGAGAGAGAGAGAGAGAGGAGAGAGAATCAATTCAGCAACATAATACATGCTCTTGCCCACTCCAGACTGTCATCAGGTACTAGGCCTCCTATATGATACAACTGGCTTGAACCTCTCTTTAAACACAATGTAGTACAGTACTGTGGAAACAAGAGGCTTACCAGAGCTATGTTGTTAAATAAACGGTGCATAGCATCATTGCTACTATCCTGTCTGATAACAGACCCTTTGTAGGGTAGATATTTAGTTGAAGTACTTGAACTCCATCAGATAAATAACAGACCAAAAGACAGAAAGGAAACTGAAGGCAGGGAGGTGAAGCTATCATCTGAGTGTTTTGTTTCTAAGTGTTGCCAGTCATAAAAGGACTTGACGTGCTAATATCTGTTCATTCAGACACTTACAGACATGCTAAGAGCATGACGGCTCGCAGGCACTGCCTTTAAGTGCTGTTACTGAGGCCCCCAAATATTGACAGAGTGCCAGACTCTAAGAAACTATTGATGTACGCAGCCGACCTCTGCTCCAGACACCTATCAGACAGAATCTTTAAATGTCACAGATTAATGAATTTTCATGAAACTCTGTGGGTGGGTGTATGTGGGTGTGCACGTGCATGTGCATGTGTGTTTGATAGTAGGAAAGAAAATTCAAAATAATCCCCCCTGAATCCTTACTCAAGTGGTCTTTATCATTTTGCAAAACTTTGACCCAAACTCACTATTTTTATTAAGGCGATACAGACTGAGAATGTGTTGTGTGGGGGGGTGTTAGGGGAAGGGAAGTACCTCTGGTGGGGGACACGCTGTGCTCTTTCAGGGGTACTTTGTCCACCTTTGATCCCCCACCCTGCACTCAGCTCTCACATGTGGCTCCTAGAAGCTGTCAACATGCAACAGCAGCTGCACCTTGGGAATGGCCTTGATTGGCCAGTTAAACTAGATGAGGGCAGCCAATGGGTCTCTAACCCCCAGCGGATTAGGGACTTCCTCTGCATACAAAGATAAACTCTGGGGGATTGAGTGGACAAGACCAATAGTGGGTCCAATGGTCAAGAAGGTTTCTGTACGTGCTGTAGAAGGAAGTGAGGGGCAGTTAGGGCTCATCAAGCTAGGAAGATAGCCCATTTAGGAGAAGGACCTCTCCATTTAGGAGAAGGAAGTGGATTCCATGGTCAAGAAGGTGGTTTCTGCATGTGCTGTAGAGGGAATTGCTTGTCAACCTGGGAACGTAGCCCATCTAGGAGAAGGAAAACTCTGATGTTAAACCTCCGCTGCTTTGCAGGATATCTTTGGGAGAGAGAAAAGGCCAAGGAGTAAACACTACACAAATCCAGAGTGGAGTCTCTAAGACAGTTGGAGGGTGCCTTCTATGCCTCCTCCCGGCAACTCCTGCAGCCAAGCTGGTGCCAAACGTATTGCTCTGCTTTCCTTTGGACCACATCAGGGAAGCTGAGAAGAGGGTCTTATTATCTCGGCAGCCCAGGACCTCCATGCACACTGCCCAGGCTTGCCCCCAAGGAGGTCATTTCAGTGCTGCTTACAAAGTGGACCTCTCCCCTGGAGGAGCACTCCATTGGCTCTAGAGACAGACAGATGTCAACAGTATGTGTGGGGGATCATTCTGCAGAGCAAAATGGAAACACACTCTGAACTTGGCCATTAATCACTAAGGACCAGCAAGGGAAACCTCATCTTGCCCCCATCTATTAGTCACTTTACAACTTACCAGTTTGTACTGGTATTGTTAAACTAGATTTCCTTATTTTCCATTCCCCCTTTGCCCATCTGTTGTATGCCTTGAACATCTAAACTCAAAGGGCATATCTAAAGTCAAAAGGCAACAACACTCTCTCTTCTTCTCTTTAATTCTTTTGATGTGAGTGAGCCACTTTGGGAGGCAATATATACTGTTGCAAATACACAAAATGCCAGCTTCCAGCACATACAATCATTTATTTGTAGAACTGTAGCACTGAAAAGGACTCCAAAGGTAATCTTGCCCAAGCCCCTGCTATGCAAGAATCTCAGCTAAAGCACCCCTGACAGATGACCATCCAACCTCTGCTTTGAAACCTCCAAGGAAGGAGAGTCCACAACCTCCTGCAGGAGACCATTCCCCTGTCGAACAATTCTTACGGTCAGAAAGTTTTTCTGTATGTTTAGTCAGAATCTCATTTCTTGTAACTTGAAGCCATTGGTTTGAGTCCTACCCTCCAGAGCAGGAGAAAATAAGCTTGCTCAATCCTCCTCCCAGTCTCTTCCAAGCTAAGCATACTCTGCTCCCTCAACTGCTCCCCATAAGACTTGGTTTCAAGGCATTTTATCATCTTGGTCGCCCTCCTCTGTACACCTTCCAACTTGTCAATACCCTTCTTTAACTGTGGTGTTCAGAACTGGACACAGCACTCCAGGCATGGTCTGATCAAGGCAGAATAGAGCAGGATGATGATCATGACAATATACTTCTGTTGGTGCAGCCCTTGCACAGTTAATAACATTGGGGATTTTTGCTGTTCCATCACACTGTTGACTCATGTTAAG